GTAGTAGTAGTAGTAGTAGTAGTAGTAGTAGTAGTAGTAGTATATAGTAGTAGTAGAAGTAGTAGTAGTAGCAGTAGTAGTAGTGGTAGTGGTAGTGGTAGGTGGTAGGTAGTAGTAAGTAGGTAGTAGTAAGTAGTAAGCAGTAAGGAGTAGGAGTAGGAGTAGCAGTAGTAGTGTAGTAGTAGTCGTTGTCGTCGTCGCAGCAATGTGGTGGTGGTAGTAGTAGTAGTAGTAGTAGTAGTACTAGTACTAGTACTAGTAGTAGTAGTAGTAGTAGAAGATTACAGGATTACATTATATAGATTGTTGGGTGGTCGTTTTGGGCAATCGGTGTTGCCAAGGCCAGTCTTTGCTTTCATTGCATGAGGTCGTTTCAGGCTTATTTCCAACCAAGGGAAAGGGTGGATAACCTGGTGTGGTCAGGAGTAACTTCTTGGGACCGTTGGGACCAATCTCACACCGCCAAGGCGTTGAAATTCTGTGCTCGTGCAGTGGAGCGGTGCAGTGCCAACCTTCAAGCGTGTCCGGTGTCCCAAGACACATCAAAGAACTAAACCACAGCAACTGCTCGGAGTTCGTTTTGATTTTGAATTGGAACCGTTATGCGTTTGGAACGTAAAATGGCCGGCCCAAGCTGAGGTGATGAAGTGTGGGCATGGGAGGTTGCTGACACCGTGTGGCAGAGATAGCTATATAGCAGGACCTTAACAGTTCCCAGTATATTGTACTTGTATTTGCAAAGTTTGCCTTGATCAAGGATGTTTTGTGACCGTTCTGGTGCCTGCTGAATGTGTGCTTGACTGTTTGAGTTATACGTGCAACGCCTCTAAAGCTTGAAATGTTGAAAGGAAGAGGCTCCTAGCCCATCATGGCCATCCCGTTTTATGTTTGGATAGAAACACCATTGACAGGTCCTATCTGAAATTGCACGCTGTTGGGAATGCCTTGAGACAGGCGTGAAATGGTGTGACTGTGCTGTGAAGCAGGTCACAACCAGATGTGGGCCATTGCTTCTAGGTTGGAGGCCATTGCTATTACTGTAATTAGGTTGAAGGCCATCGCTAGTAGGTTGGAGGCCATTGCTTCTAGGTAGGGGGCAGGGCGGCCTTTGCCTGTGAAGCAGGTCATGACCGGATGGAGGATTGGATTGGTTGACCACCCACGTAGCCATGATAAAGTTGGCTCAATACATTCCTTGAACATTCGTTGGCTGACGATTTAGCTGCACTGGCTAAGTGTGTTCTATTCAACCTGTGATCAACTTGCAAACAGAAGCTTTGATGTGTGTGTGTGTTTTAGGCGGCAAGTTGCTAATACTCTACTGCTGCCGCAGTTCCAAAAGATGTATGATTCCATGTTCATGTGCTTAACGCCCAGGAATGACCACAAGCAAACTTTAAACATCTACCCATGGCACCTAAGTGCACATGGTCTTGGACTCACACAAAAGGCACACGTTTGCTCATACAGTCGTAATGCCCTATCTTGTCTCCAAGACTATTCCAAGTCAATCCATTGAGCGAACAACAGCTCCCCAGTCTATTTGCCCACTTGCTGTAGTGTAATTCTTTTATAGCCTTGTGGGCCTCACGTCAGTGAGTTTATGCCGGAAGGAGATTCTTCATACACCCTGCTGTCTCCATGCTACCGAGTACTAGGTTGTCTTGTCTCATGCTTAGATTGTCATGCGACCCTTTTGTCCGCTTGGCGCTTGGTCAGATGCATCAGTTGCAATCGGCAGGAAGCGATGAGTGGAAGCAGATGCTACAGGCAAGCATGCCCTGTGATTGTCTCCAAATGCAGGGAGTTGACATATCTTCCATTTGGCAGGCTCTTTGCAGCAAGATCATTCAGCATCACTGGTCAGAGGCCCGTTCCTTCGGGGGGGCGAAGGGAAACCCGGTGAAGCCGTGAAGCCACGACACGAACAGGCGACAAAGGGCATGCGGCATCGAACGGAGCGATCGGACGCTACTAGGGGCGCTCCTGGCCTTGCGATCGGAACAAGGTTCGCTACTAGGAACAAGTGCCACGCTAGTAGTAACAAGTGCCTTGCTAGTAGGAACAAGAAGCTACTAGGTAAGAAGTGTGCATCGCTACTAGGAACAAGGGCGTAACAAGGGCATCGCCTGCGATGCGCTTGTTACTAGCATGTTTACATCTATCTTACCCTTCTTTAATGTAAAAATGCCAAACCCGTTTATGTCAATGGAAAACTTGCCACCCGACTGAACACCTTTCATTCTGACCCCGCAGTGAGAACCTTCATTCGCAGCCCCTGCCACTCCAACTGTCGACAAAGCTTTGAACACGAGTCCTTGAACAAAATGCTATGTTCTTTGTGTGTATTTGTGCATACTGTGTTTTTCGAGCACGTGGCTCATGTTCGTGAACTTCCCAGGCAAAAGAGTTTGCAGCTCTGGCAGGCGGGACGCAAGTGTTTCACTTGTGGCCCTTGCTATCGATATCAATGATTATTCACCTAGATTCTAGATTCTCATCGAACAGATTTTATGATGTACCCAAATACCCAAAACTAAATTTGTCATGTCATGGTGTTTGAAGGTGCTATCATGCCAAAAAGGTAAACAACAGAGGTAGACAATGCGTGTTTGCACTCAGCAGCACATTGTGGGGCTCGTAACTCTTGAACTGCGAAGGCCTGTATTGATCCCAACACCCCGTAGACACGATGCTGCACCGCTGTGCAATGCTGCATGGACCGTCCAGGTACTCACGGGCAATTGCCAGCACCGCTAAAAGAGCTGCTTGTTCACAGGACAGCGCTCCCATAAACCTTGGAACCGTTTGGAAACTGGTGCTCCAAATTCCAGGTTTGGGATGATGTGTGCATTGTTGCTGTGTTTTTTCTGTTTCATGTGCAGTTTGCGCGACTCCATGTTTGCACTCAGCTGCTTTAATTAATACTAAACTAAACGAGGGACAGCTAAGCAAAGTAACACCGCGGGATTCCAGGATCACCGCATAGATGGCACCACGTGACGCGTGGATGGTGATGCGTGGAGCATTCTTCGCTGTGTTTGGAGACAGTGTGAATGCATTTGTTCAACAGGCAATTTGTTGACACCAGCGCATGCAAAGCGGTACTTCTCGGCGAAGCCGAGCATGCAAGGCATGAGACTGGTTAGTGACTGGTTATGGGGATGATGCAGGGGCCGGCTGCCATCAGCACTATCCCTTACAGTACCTTCCTTTGGGATGGAAGGTATGAGGGCTACAGTTGTCGACCACAAGATGTGTTTGCCAAGAACATTCAATTCTTTGATGGACAAACTTCGGACAAACCATGGAATGGCCGACACTTAGAGTGCAGACTCGACCTGATGGCAGCGTGCATCAAAGGCCGAAGCTCATCGCATGTTTGCCTAACCAATCAGGACACACAGGAAGCTCTTTTTTTGGAAGCTGAGACCTCTTTTCAATTCAGTGTTCAAGTCATAGTGATTGGGTCTGAGCAACTCGTAGGTCCTCGAAGCCAGGAGCCTTTAGCTTCCTCCCAGGTGGTAGGTAGAACGTTTGATGCAATCAATCAGTTCTTCTGTGATGTTACTAGTCGCGTCAGGCCGATTGGGCGAAAGAAGGGATTACCCTTCCTCCAGTTTCATTTTTGTAGGGGTTGCCCGACGTATCAAGAGAAGCAACACTACCTGTGGCTGGTGGAGACCAACCCCACTGTTTGACCTGTGATTGCACACAGTCATGACTTGAGGCTACAAATCCAGTGTGTGTTGAATGATCCATATCGGCTCAGCGGTCAGCGCAATCCCCACTGGGCAAAGATGGAGTCGTTGGAGTACCTTGGATCAGTGGGCACCAGCATCGCTTAGGGTCTTTTTGGCAGCAGCAAAAGAAGAAGTTGCTGGCGTCGGTGGAAAATGCTGCACATCCTTTGCCCATGCATATTTGGTAAACTGAACTCAGGTGGAGTACGACCTTGGGGACATTGGCATTGCTTGTGCTCAGACCTTGGTGCGTGATGTCACCTTGCCCGTCTGGCAGAGGCATTTTTCAATCTTGCAGAATCCATGTGTTCCAGATTTAAGATTCAGATTTGTTTTGGCTTTGGTTTGAGGAAATCCACATTTTGAGTGCCCCATCATGATGTTTGAGAAATACCTTTTCCTAAGGGTATTGGCCTTTGGCATCCGATATGTCTATGCCGGTGCCCCAATCTCACGAGTAGCGTGAGTCTTACATAGTCTGAAGCCTCCTGGATTGATCTGCTTTGAGCAGTGCTAAATTCACAGTTCTGATCCTAAAGTCAAGGCTATGCCCAGTCGAGTCTTACTGAATTTACAGTGTTCAGGTGAACCTGGTGAAGGGCGCTTTCTCTGACCGCTGGAGCGACATCGATCCTGGGTGAAAGGGATTTATTCATTGCGCGATGTGGTTAATTTTGAGTTTTTGATCATGAACTGAGACCAAAGCAACCCTTTTGAACTCCCTCCCATTGATTCCCATTGGGTCTATCACTTTTGAAAGAAACCAAGTGATAAGATCTCAGAAAATTACTCCAAATTGTTGGCAGAAAATCAGAATGCTGCTAGCGGTGCATCATTGGCTGAGGAAATGGATGGCAACATGCGAACGAAGATCGATCATGGGGACTTGTGACCTGAAAGGATAGGACAGGGATAGAAGGAGATATCCTTAAATTGTCGTGTGTTTCATAGAATCCCACCGACGAAATCAAACGCAAGAATTGAATAGAAATTGAATTGATTTATATCATTAATTCATTGATATTCATTGAATATAATATATCATCCATTATATTAATACATATAATATATTTTAAATATATACATTAAAATATAGAATTAATTTATTGAAAATACAATATATATTTGAATTTTAATTATATTAGAATAACATATTATTAATATAAATTAAAACATATAAATAAATATTAGGTATTGTTATATTATTGGAATTTGGATAAAAATAAAATTATATATTTATATAGAATTGTATTTTATAGAGATGTTTAAGCATAAATTATATTGATTTATAATATATGTTTTATATTGTGTTTATGGTATATATTATTATTATGGTTTTAATATTTATAATTCGATATTTAGGATATTTGTTTAGAATATTTTATGATAAAAATAATAATTGAGCTCTTGAGATAAGGTTATTGGATGAATTATTGAGATTTATCGAGAATTAGTTGCCGATGATAATGGAAATTTTTGATTGTAAATGTTTTGAAATTGATAATTACGATCGCCATTTTAAAATTAATAAAATTCGTAATAACGAATAAGGATTTTATATATAGGTTTAGGATAAATTTGTCTTTGATATGTTAGGATTGCCAATTGATAAACATAGATGTGATTTATCGTTAAATTTATAGAAACCACGCTTTATTTCTAAATAACGGTATATGGATAAAGAAGGAAGATTTAGGTATATACGCAAAATAGATATTGGCACGGCGTTTCGAATATATAATATATTTTAAAGAAAATTGATGAAATATGCTTTGATAAAGGCTACATGCAACAATGATGGCAATTTTAAGATCGAGGCATTGAACCTTATGAAGATGTTGCCTCTTCCATTTTCTGTTGGTCTTTAACACGAAGGTTGGGCAATCCTATGACATACGAATCTCCGCAAGGGCGGCGGCCCAAGCGGGTGGTCTCTGGCTGGGCCGAAGGCGCGGCAAGGGATCCCAAGGTGGCCGGATCTAATGAATCCAATTCGCAACCACCCAAAAATCTTGATGCGGTTGTCTTTGCAACGAAGCTCGTATTGGTCGCCCAAGCAAATGTCTTAGAGCAGGACCGGCCACCCACTGCTTCGGCTGATTGTCTTTCCCAATTGCGCATATCTAGAAAAAATCTCAAGGAAAATAGGAATTATTTTGCGGAACAAAACCAACGGATCTAGAGCACCTTGCGCAAAAGCTTTGCTATATTGGCGGCTGCTGCCATGGCATCTGCCTATACCCTTTTTGGTAGGGCTCCAAACAACTGTATTTTTTGGTATCGTCGGACGGAAGCGGGCGTCTTCCACCGACCCCTCTGCTGTATGGCGTCGAGCGATCGGAGCCGGTTGTAGAAGTCGTGGGAGGCTCCGCCGTGACGAAATCTGAACGCATTCAATGGCCCCAACTTCTTCAGATTCAGAGATTCGGCTGCCTCTTCCAAGAAGTTGTTGAGGTCAGTGTTCCAATGATCGAAGAAGATCAATTCTTGGTTTCCTCTCCCGCGCAATGCGATATATCGATTCAAAGCATATGATTTCGGTGAATATAGTGTTGTACCCATTGATCTGATCAATCCGCAAAGCGTGTTTCAAGATCATCGACAATTGAAAGTGTTCCTGAACGACCCAACTCGATGGTTCGACTTTGGTCAATTGTCTGAACCTCTCGTGATGCCCTTCCAGCCCCAATCCCTCAATGGAAAGATATGAAATGCACCACCGAGCAGTCCTCGGCCCGGTCAAAGTCCAGGCCACATTGTGTTCAGCACTCTTAGATATGATTTCCTTGAAATTATACTCCGGTTTTCCTAATATGCATGTCCCATCGCCCAATGCATGGATTGCCTTGGCACCCTTCACGGGTATTGTTGCAACCCCAGGAATTTGGTCCCCATATTTGATGTCACCCAAAAACTCTGCAGCCATCCAACAAAGAGTACCTGCCACGAATTCCGGTTGGCTAACATTAGCCCGAGCCTCCACCAAGCCACGCTGACGCTTTTCTTGTTCCAAGACACGAGTGGCCTCTGCGCGAAGAGCTGTCAGCTGGCCAGCAGTGAACATCGGGAGGTAATAAACCTCCCCAGCGTTGACTCCAGGAGGCAAAACATTGGGAGCTGGCTTGACCCGTATCCCTTGGAGATCTGGATTCAATAGAAATAGCTCTTGATAAAAAAACCTCGGAGTCAGGACTAGCAACCACATAATCATCGTTGGTGATGTGATGCAAGACCAGTCGCTCGTGCCAGAGGGTCGGGCCCGGCACGTCGTAACACACCTCTATTCGGGACCTTGCACGCACCTCGACAATCTGCTGAGGCGCTAGCTCCCTCCTCTGATCTGGCGAGGTGGGTGTTGACCCACCTGATGGTTCACTTGTGCCCGGCCTTTGAGTACCCCTCCTATAGCACCAATATCCAACAAACACTAAGAGCCCAGGAATGCTAATGCTAACAAGAATGATGCCCAAATTCCATTTGCTCTCGTAAGATCGGTTGTCAACACATTGCTCCTGTTTGCGCGATTCGCTACAAATCTCAGCAGATGTACGAACAATCTCTTCCCCCAATCTCTGCAAAAAAATGATCACTTTGCTCACCCAACAGATGTCGCGCCAGAAATCCCATTGCACCCCACAACACACTGAGGTGCGGGAGCCCAACAAGACCCATGGCACCGTGGATGCCACAACCCCTTTACAATTGAGCATCACGTCAATGACAATCTGAATCGACCGACTCCGTCGCACGCACAGATCTGCATGGATTGGTCAACCTGAATCGACCGGCTCCGTCGCACACACGGATCTGCATGGATTGGTTAATCTGAATCGACCGGCTCCGTCGCACACACAGATCATGTATATGTGTTTGTATATTTATGCAATCTTTTTTTAATGCAAATTGGTGTGAATGATGTTGTATTATTGAAATTAGGGCTTGAAATATCTAGAAAATAAGGCTAAATGTTAGCGATAATATAGTGTGCGTATATGTTTCTTTATATATATTATTTTCTTATCGTGTTCATATTTTAAATATGCCTATTATATTTTTTAAAATGAATCGATTTCACGCGAATGAATTGATTTCTCGTTGAATCTTTGCGCCTAGATAATGAATTGATTTTATGCGATGTGGGTTGATTTAAATACATTGATTGTAGTATTATAAATATTTTTAAATATTTATTAATAGTTTGCTTATTAGGAGGATTGATATAATTAAGAAATTTGCATATTACGTTATTGTTTAGAATATGATTATTAGCAAAAATAATTAATGAAAATAATTGTTTTGTGAATGAATTTAGGAATGATTAATTAAAATATAAGATTCATAGAATTCTTATAATGAAAAATCAAAAAAATATATATATAATCTTTAATTATTTGGCCCAAGACTGGCAATTGTGGTGCGCACGAACTAGATACGATGGTGGACGAGATGTATATAGACGATCAGAGCTTTACGGGTCTCCTAGATGCTTGCGCTCAGAACGTTGGCAAAAGACCACGGGTTGCTACGGATGAAAACACACAGATCTGGCAAGGGACATGCAGCCAGATCCTTTCCATCCTCGGCCTCCACGTCGAGTGGAGGAAACGAAGAGCTGCTCCGCATGATTGCCAGATTGATTCTGAGGCAGGAAGACGCCATTTCACAGTTGCAGTTGGACAAGAGCTTTATATTCTTCATCCAGTGTGGCAGGGGAAGCATCATGCCTAATTTGCTCACCCAGGCCAAAGAATGGAATCAATTCAAGGAGAAAGGCGAGATGACAATGCCACTCCGGATGCATATGTTCCTGCAGTGCTTTCAGATGCTGGCACAGAGAGCCAAACAGTTGAAGCTCGATGCAAGCGACGACGCCTTGGTTCAGAATTTGAAGTCCAAAGGCATCTTGACAGAGGACCACAAGTGGGCATATCTCTCGTGGGACAGCCAGGCCATGATGCTCAAGTCCAATCAGATGCAGCCGCTGACCTCCGAAGAGATTCGATCCCTTCTGGAACGACTTGCTCATCTTGGACAACAGCCAGGAGTGATCCACAAGTTCTCGGCCCTGCGGCCGGTCAAGCAGGACACACTTCCTTAGGATGCCACGACGGCCATCCCATGGCGTTTGGACCTCAGTCTGCGGTCCTCGGAAGCCTCGGAGATGTTCCAACTACTTCAGAAATTCTCAGGCAATGGCATCATACAGCTGATCTTGCTTCGAATCAGGATGGCCAATCTTCAGCGATCATCCCTCGCCAATGCCATCTCCCAACGATTGAGGAGATCGTGACCGGCATCCTTGAGATCAAGTTGGGAGGCTCTGGCAGCACATGCTACATCAATAGCGTGCTACAAGCTCAGACATGGAGCTGTCCTATGAACCTGACCTTCAATACAGCCATTTGGGGAGCATGGGAGAAACACATTTTGAGCATGTTCGTTGAGCATGCAGGGGTTGTTGTGGACCCATGTGCAAAGCAATTTCTAGGCCACTTATTTGTGGATTGATTCAAGGACCATCCCAGTCGGGATCAGCATGATGCTGGTGAATTTGCTGGATGGTTTCGTCAACGGCTGCTCGAAAAGACACTCCCACAGTACATGCAGGCTGGCTGGAGCTCACGTTTGTTAAGTTCGACGGAAGATCATGCAGATGTGTTTGCACCAATTCCCATGGCATGTCCGGTTGAGGGATTCATTTCACTCCAACAGATGGTCTTCAATTGGCATCATCAAGAGCCTTTTGTCCATGCCTTCACATGTGACTCCCCATGGATCTGCATTCAGGTGTCTCGTTTTCCCTTCCTTGGACAGAAAAGCCGATGTTCCGTTGTTTGGGATAGATGCAAGCCCTTGCAGCTTCCAATCTTTAGTGACCGCCGAGGCATCCATGTTGAGTGGCATGATTTTGTAATGACAGCGGATGTCATCCATTTGGGTGATGCCCCCTCCGAAGGCCACTATCGTAGCATCCTTTGGCACAGTGGCACCGCCAAGTCTTGTGATGATTTTCGTTCGGCCCTTCCCTTGGGTGTTGACCCTGAGATTGCAACCTCCATTTATCTCATCTGAGTCATTGCAAAGAAATTCACAAGTCTGCAATGGAGACGTCCATTTCCCATGAAGCCAAAGAGTTTTGACGAATTCTTCAGTGATAGATTCACATGAGATGTTTTCGAGCACTGGTGCTAAGACACTCACGAAGTGTCCGGCCTGAATACGTTCCAGCTGCGGCCCAACACGGGCAACCAGCACAGGTTGCCGGCAGATGAAATGAAAAAAATCTTTAATTAATTTTTTATATGTGGTATTTAATTTAATAGGTAAATAAGAATGCGTAAACGTTAGGATGATGTTAGGATGATATTATTTAATATTTGATATAATTTTTATATCGTCTTTATATATTCTTTTTTATATATAAACATTTATTTTGATGTAAGCCTTATTTATCAAATTAGCCGCGTTAGCTAAAATTGCGCGCACATGAGAATTCATGCATTTTGATATATTATTTCCCATACGATTTTTAAATCTATCTAGATGTCTAATATATTTACCCCTTAAAATTGAATTATCTAGTGGGGCGGAATTCAAAATATGTAATTAAAAAATATATCGTATAAATAATTTGGCAACGATAATTTGTTATTGCCAGATCCTATAATGGATTGTTGGATTTATTTCTTGGTTAGATTATCGATGATTCAGAAAAATCTTTCAATTTAGTATAATTGAATTAGAGAATGGACGGACGGAATATTCATTAAGGAATGGATCTATAATATATAATAAATAAAACCAATTTGGATTGATTTATATTAAAAAATGTTATATATATTATTTATTCTACATTAATATTTATAATTAATATCTTAGAGATAAAAGAGGATAAATATATTTTTTTGATTTACTAATATTCTTTATAGAATATAATATATATATATAATATTGATTTATATTCCTAATTATATATCGATTAATATATTAAATATTATTTTAAATATATATTTGTATATTGATATTTTTTTTAAATATAGATATATATATGATCTAATTCTATAATATATATAATATATATTTAAGAAATATATATATAATTATTAATATTTATAGAAATGGATTTAGGAAAAATTAGATAGGAATTAATAATTCGATTATTTTATGAATTTAAAGAGATATATTTTATCATAAATATAATATTTTCTAGAATTTAAATTTTAAAATCTATTAGAATAAAAAATATATTCTATAAATATAATATAATATTCGATATATCAATATATATATATTGTAATATTATTTAAAGATAATAAATATTTATAATCATTAAATAGGTATTCTTACGTATTCCTTAAATATTCTTATGTGATATGTAAGAGAAAAATAAATATTTATATCATTTTTATGCAATCAAATTTCATAAATATTTTATGAATCTATTAAAGATATTATTTTGCCACGTGTTTTATATAATAATAATCCTTCAAGAATTGTTATTTGCAGAAACATATATTCCTTCCCAAAATAAATATACATGCATTTTCCAACGAAACCGCAAAAAATCAACATAATAAACATAATTTTATTTAACCTCACGATATACTACAAATTAATTAAATACAACAAAAATCCAAGATTTTCTTTCAAAAAATCGTAATTTATACAATATTAATATTTAGAAACAAAACGAATATATATATATATATCTTTTTTTCGGACCAATATTAATATTAAAATCATATATTTTTTATTCACTAATATATAATTTATGCATTATTTACATATATATTCCACGGAATTTAAATAAAATATATCATAATTTTCTTAAATTTTAATAAATCCAATAAATCTCCTCAATTAAATAATAAATCAAATATGAATTGTAAATCAATAAATATAAAATTTATGCGATAAAAAATATTACCCAATCATATATAATATAATATTCTTTTTATATCCCGAATTTTTATAAAAATATCCTTATTCATTATAATTAATTAAATCTATAATATAATTCACGAACAATAATCGAATTATAAATAATTAAATTATATTTAGGGATACAAAAAATTATCATCATCAATAATGTCAAAATTTCAATATCAATACATAATTATATTACCATTATATTACAATATACAAATATATATATATATTATTATATATATACATATTTACTGTAAACAGATACATTCCAATTTGATTTTTTTGGATTATTTCAATAACATTGGCAATCCGAGCTGTGCAACGGCTCAGCTGGTCATCGCTGTGATAGCTTTTGCCTCCACCACCAACCATTCCAATTCAAATGACACAATGAGCGAGCCATTGATTACAGTAATTGATTGAATTTGATTGACTAAGGGGAGTATATAGAGCCTCTGAACGAAAGGCTTTGGCCAGCTCAGTGCGCACCTGGGCCCACAAAGCCCTGTGCAAAAGAGATCCATGTCTGAATGAGATGTGCAAAAGTCATACTAATGATTGAGCTGCAAAACATACCAATCTACAATCTTGGATGGTCGTGAGACCAGTGGCTTCAAGGTCCGAATCGTGTGTTCCACTTGGCATGTGGTCAAAATCGCAACTTCTTTGCTGGGCGAGCCATGGTGACGTTGCCTTTTTGGTTGCGGGTAACCCTAGGGTAGACCTCTCCAAGCAGAACCCCAAACAGTAAGTACAGTATACAGTATATAGAGAACTTGTTTCAACTTGTTCCACCAGGTGTAAAGAAGCATAAAGAAGCCGCCAATTTGGGATGCGGGGATGCACTGGAGGTTTTCATCACCAGCGAAACCCATAGACTAAGTAGAAGAACCCCTGAGCAGTGGTTTGTGTATATTAAATATTCCCCTTGGTCTCCTGACTCCTGCCCCCATCTGGAGTACTTCCTGCCACTTCACTTCACCATCATCATATATCATCAATACTTTTGTGGATGTCCCTAAAACAGCTTTGCGGCTTTGGCTAAATGCTATGTTGCTCATGCCAGCCAAGAAAAACGACAATGCAGCTTCAGCAAACTGAGGCTATCACCAGCACCAGCCTTAGCAGTCTGAAGGGAATTGGAATAGCAAAGAGAACGATGGCCTCCACCCTAGTAGCGATGGCCTCCACCCAATAGCGAGACTCGAATTTTCAGTTTGGTTCACCTTGATACTGAGGTACTGTACCACGACCGGTTCAAGCTTTTTCCACTGACAAGCTGCAAGCTCACGTTGGTGAGGCACGCTGTTAAATACAGTGGAAACATCTAAGGAACACAAAAGCCTGTGCTTTCAGATCTCATCTGCGTTCACTCACTGTGAGAGACTGCGGTCAGCAATGTAAACTGCACTATCCGCACATGCTCACTCAGCTGCTGGAGTGATGCTCCGCCACATTCTCCGGCTTGTCCTGACATACAAAAATTAAAATCTCAGAATCTAGCATGCGAACACTCCCACGAAATGCCTCCTAGCCATCCAAGGTGTGGGCCATCAACCATACCACAAATACATTTGAAGAAAACGCTGCACAGCACAAGTTTCTTCACGAGCACCACTGCACCGATGCCCAATGCGACCACACGAGCAGCGAGGCGAATAAACACGAGCTCCTGCCGTCAAGGTGCGGAAAAGAAGGCGCTCCCTAGTAGCTTTGGTCCTTACTTTCGAGCGCTTTATTAGCTTTATTGTTACTAAATGGCCTCCAACCTAATGGCGATGGCCTGCACCTAGTAGCTTCTAGTTGCTAAACTGAGGTGCTCTTTTTGGCTCGGCTTTGCAGGTGTGTCGGTCGGGTTGGGCATGGTTAGGCAAACTAGATTTCGTGCCATAGCTGTCCGTAGGCCTTTGTCCACATTCATGCCGTACACAAGCGGTTTATGCCCTCAGCCCTCAGCCTGACTGAACCTAGAAAACGTGCAAATCCTTCCCCAACGTCAGGTAGACAACAGAACACGAAGAAGCGGTCCCTAAACATTGTCCCACGCAGCTGCTTGGGCTGGACATATGATATACAAAGTGTGAATCTGCATTCAGGTAATATGGAGCGTTTGCAATGTTGTTGGCACGAGCACCTTCACCGTCACCATCGCTAGCACAGTAAGGTCTGGTGGCAGCCAGGGTTGCCATTTGCTTGGATTACTGTATGTTGGGACATATATATATATATCTTATGCAGCCATCTGTGGTGCTGACAACATGTGGAAACCTGGAGTGGAAAACCGCGAAAAGCCAGGAACGAAAGCCAGTCAGTAGTCAAAATCGAGCGAGTATGATCGAGTATGCAGGTCCTGGCGTTAAGGTAAGGGACAAGGGGCAGTTGACAAAAGCACAAGTACCAAGTGGTTGTGATGAAAACACAGAGTTTCAAGTTGTTTTGTTCCGGCACAGCCTCTTGGCATTGTTTTGTCAACTAAACCTTGCCTCCTGATTTACAAGCAGTGTCCGTTCCTGACCTCCCTTTTCAGGTTCCAAACATGGACTCAAAACTACTCGCCTACTCGCTGCTCACTAAGTTTCAGGGTTTATTTTGCCCGCTCTGCCCCAATAACACCCGCAACCACTAGTTTCAGCCTAGCCAGGCTACTGGGCGAGGAGTCAATCTCCCACCTGGCAAGTCCATGTCCAAATATCTTAGAGAGAAGCAGCGGAAGGAAGAAAGAATGAATGAATGTGAAACTTCACTTTGAATAGCTTGGCAGGATGATGATCTGAAGAAGTGTGATCGTCAGCAATGCTCACCATTCGAGGAGCTGTGAAATGCAGCGACTTGGAGAGCCCAGAGAGTCAATGGAGCAGGGTGATCCCCACTTAGCAATGCAACGTGTGACAAAGGAAGATTGAAGAACGCCTTGCACAGTGCGTTGCTTTCTCCAGGAAGTTGGAGCGATTCTAAAACTGCTCCTAGTAGCTTCTGGTTACTAGCAGCGATGGCCTCCAACCTACTTGCGATGGCCTCCACCAAATAGCATCCTTGCTACTTGTAGCAGTTTCAAAAGTGATGTCAAATCGCAAAAGTAATTGATTTCACCACACGAACACGAAGGAGAACATGCAACTCGCAAGGGAATTGCCGTTCTTGACCCGAGAAATTTACATTTAGGTCACATCAACCGCCCTCGACATTACTCTTAGAAGCACCTTCAAATCGCTCAAAAAGCATATCGCACGGGAGTTTGACCGATTTGTGCTTCTCATAGAATTGTGGCCACAGAGAGGAAGATAATGTGATAGCGAACATGCTGGGGCAACATAAATGATGTGATATTGAAGGACGTGACTAGGAACATGGTGGCATGCAAAACCTCCACCTCCACTCCTCCAGCCAGCAATCACATAACTCTAAGGGCATAATAATGACAATGTTATGAATGCCTCAATGTGATGAAAAGCAAAACTACTAGTGCTCAAGACCCAAAAGAAGGAACAGGAGCACCCGCAAAAATATCAAGATGGACATGGTGGTTGTCCAATATTCTTGTTTTTTGAAACGGCCATTCTTCGCGAAAAAAAACATTAACATTCGCGAAACTTTCGCGAACCCTGTGTTTTTCTTTCGCGGGGGTTCACCATGTCATGAAACCATTTAACCTGGTAGGGACTCGATTTCTAAATACAGTTTGTGGGGTTGCTATGGGCTACGGGGTTCCTCTGGAGCCTATTCATTCGCCGAAACCTTCGCCAGACTTTCGCGAAATAATCCCTGTGCTTTGGAGGTTTTGACGGCATACATAACATGGGGTGGACTACATGAAACAGGAAGGAAGCTTCACACGGATTCCAAAGTTGAAGCTGCTGACGGTCAGAAAAGGATGTGGTAATGCATGGGGCAAGCCTGAAGGCTCGCCAAAGAACATACAATAAAAATTCATACTTTCGCGAATCTTTCGCGAAAAAAACATTAACATTCGCGAACTCGAAAAAGAACTTTCGCGAGACCCACGATCATGTCATCCAAGGCTCTCGACATTAAAAACCCTTACAAGGACCTTTTGGATAACTCCCACATATTTTTGCTATTCCTTGTTCACCCTCCAGATCACCTTGAAAAACATATGCGAAATAAGATGTTTAATGTCTGTGATGTTTATTCGCGGCCGTAGGAGAGAAAGAATCTTGTATCCTAGTAGGTGCTACCAACTTGCATTTCCCGAGCCCCCCCTCGGTCACCACTCCATCGAAGGGAATCTCACGAAGCTTTGCTCTTGAAGGTGTCGAGGCACAGCTCCTAGCAGTGAAGGACATCGGAAACATTGTCATACTACGCAAGGTCTCATATATAAGCCAAGCTGCACTGGACCTGCGTATAATATATGCTTTTGCTGTAGGAAGCAAGGTTGCAGAGTTACATGGCAAAGTCTCCAGGCTCATGACGGGTGCTTGATCGAACGTTTAGAGTTCTGTTGGAAGAGTAAAGCCAAAAAAAAACAAGCCGCGTGCCCTGCCTCCAACCAAGATCCAATACAAAGAATGGATGGAATGGATCACATCTGGAGGCACACGCCTGACAAGCTGAGGCTTGACTTGGGGTGGCAAAAGTGGGTCGTGAACCACCTTACAGAAGCCGGCAAAACTTTCCAATACCAATATCGTGTATATCATTCTGTAGTAGCTATATACAGCTGTACATTCAACATCATTCAACAGTGATTTCATTGTCAAATCTTTGCGAACATGACATTGCGTGTCTCATGTTTCTTCAACATTTGTGTGCAGCCTGGCTTCGGCGGCTTCGGGCACTAATGCACCCATACGACCCACATATACCCACAGATTTCTTTTGATGCTGTACAGTTTCTGGCAGCATCATGTCCCTTCTCCCCTAGAAACTTGGTTCATGCTTATCGGCTTCACGGTGCTCATGCTCATGCTCGTTAAATCTTCTTGGGGCATTCGAAGGAGACCAAGGACACAGCAGCACTGAAGCCAGGCTAACTCGCAGGGAATAATATGGAAAACAGCAGTAGGTCCCACATGGTCCCACTCAGAACGTGCGCCTCAATGCAGTTAAAAAGCAGTTCTATTGGGGAATCGCAGCGGGCCTCCAGAAATGAGTGTAGCGTCATCTCAAGCCGTATCTTTTCAGTGGAGCCACTGGGAGTCTTGCCCCCAGGGAACACCCACATGTGCGGCGAGTAGCCAAGCTCGAGCTTCTCTGTACGAACGTTGTTGAACGATCCCACACCCCACCAAGGCGATGACAGCGATCGATAAATCAAATTGGCAACCCTTTTCTGGACCATGGCGCTTGGTGTGACAAGAACATCCAACATAACTCTGGGACCTGGTGCACAGTCGGATCGAACATGGCTCAGTCGATGGAGCTACAGCGCGGAACAACAACAAACGGACACAAGGGTCTACAAATAGGGGCTCCCATCAGCAGGGACCACGTTGGTGTCACCCTGCAAACTGCATTGCGTGTTGCTGTGATTTCATTGCTCCGTACTATCTTTCCAACAACTTCCAACAACCACTTCCGATCGAAATTGCACTTGGCAAAAAAACAATATATATATATATACTTTATATGTATAATAATATATATATATATACACTATATGTATATATATATGTATATATTTATATAGTGGAAGTTATTCAGACTGTGCTCCACTATATACCCTGGAATAAACAATCTCGGGTATGTGCTTTGACCCCCGAATATGTGTTTTATTGCACATCCCTTTTTGCAACTTGTCCTTGGCCTCAAGCTTAGTGGTAGCTACTATTCAATTCCTAGGTAACCCGCCCCCCTGCACAGGGACCCCAACCGAATTATGCCCGGTGAGAATTATTTCAAAGTTTTTCCTGGCTGTTGCATGCAACCTTGAATAATAAGTTAAGGCAACCCTCATGCCTGCCACGAGCAATGGTGACAGGATGTTACTTGTGATTGTGCAAGGCACCTATTCATGCATGTGGGGGCTCGATTTGTGCAAAGGAACAATACCTGGTCATACCATGCACGTCTGTGGTGGAGCGATTCGGCCAAAAATACAGGCTGGCATTTATCATACAGTTGAACAGTGGAGGGATAATTTTTGCACCTTCCTGGTGTCGTATTCCATCACAATGAGGTATTGTGAGCACTTGGAGAGAGGGAAAAGGTCTCATCAACATGAAACCTTTGGCATCGGTGGCCTAAACAGCCGCAATAGCTTGGAGTCTGGCAGCGGGGTGGGATGCGCAGCACCTCAAGCCGAGGCTCTGAAGGGACTCCAGTGCATAGTAGAATGCAACAATGATAATTGATCAACCAATGCTCGGGTCACATGTACGACCTTAGCTCAAAGGATGTGCACTGATCAGCCGGTTCAGAAGCCGCCTGGCCGCGTGAAGATCGGGCAGCTGGCCGCGGCCTGGACCAATTGCATGCAGCTTGGCAGGGCCACGCCAGAAACGGCCCGACTGGCACAAACCTAAACATCGGAACATAGCCCAAGCACATGACCAGGCGAATAGCAGTAGTAAACAAAACCTCGGTAATCTCTGAACAGTGTTGGCAAAAGAAAATACCAAATCAATTCCCAGCTGCCTCTGCCTCGTCCTTAGGTTGGCTCTTGTTTCCCTGGAAGCGCAGGGCTTCGGTACAAAATGGTACAAGTACAAGTCTTGATTGGCTCAAGAACACTTCTGCCCACATAATGATGAACAGGAAAACAATCTATCTCAGAATAAGGACACTTCAAACACGATTCCACCTGATACCGCTTTGAGCTTGCTCGCAGTGGCCGGACCAGCGGACGGGGTCCACAAGGCGCCGCACGACGCAGCATGGTACTTCCCTCGAAGCACCAGTTGTTGTAGAGTATTATATTAATAGACTGTAGCGATGGTTGTGGCTGCATAGCATCGTTACAGAGTGGCGAAATGAAGCGGATGTCCAGTAATCTGCAATTTAACATCGGTTCGTAGGGTGACTGCTGATGTGTGCGGCGACGGGGTAAGTAAGAACACATCAATGCGACAGCTTGATGATATAGCTTCAAACATTTGAATCCAAGTCCTGATGAGAAAGGCTGTGTGACACCTTTTCCAGCTGATATTGCGCCATCTCAGGCCTCTTTGTGGCACAGAATGTTGCAAAACTCAGTTTTCAAGGGCCAGGCTCTGCCTGGTCTATGGAGAGGATCAGCTGATCGCTGGCAGTATTTGGCACAGCCCTGACCTGTACCTCCTCCCCTGCCTGAAATGCCCCCTCCTTGACATGCTTTTGATTCTCACCTCCCAAAAGCTCCTTCTTCAACTCACTAACAGGTATGAACCCCCAAAGCTTCTGCTGCTCCAACATGAGCTCCACAAAGACGCCAAAGGCCATTACATCTTGAACAACTCCGGTCATCTGCGAGGTGGGTATAGGCACCTTTACTTGTTCAGAAGCTGGACGTGGGATGCCAGAAAACATCATTTGCTGCTTGCAGTCCATCTCTTGCCGCTCGCAGTCGCTCTCGACTAGGCGCGCCACCAGCTCACGCTTCAAGCCGGATACTTGCAGGCCTGAACCCGTCGTTTGGGCTACCGAACCCACCAGTAAAAAGAATCCAAACGACTTCTGACGCCACTGCTCCGTTTGGGGGTACTCTGCCCTTTTGTTCCAACAAACGACAAATTCCAAACCGGTACCGGTAGATTAGCTGCTACACGAGGCCCCCTCTCCTACTTGGGTTGTTGTGAATCATCCCAACTCAAACGGCTGAGAATCAAGGAGAATCACACACCTTCGACCTTCTTCCCAGAAATCTCCCCACAAACTCTGTGTCATTCAAAACGCCTCGCTCGCGCAAGAGCTTCTGCAGCTCTCTTACGGTAAGAGCATGCCAGCGGCTGTCTCCATGCTTCCGAAGCCGATTTACCAGCTCTGCTTTGCGGCCCGACAATGGCAAGCCCTGCATGGGTCGCAAGAAAACCCATTGATAGCCCGGTGACTTACTAAGTTGGCCCAGCGGGTGTATCAAAGTTAATCTGTGAAAGCGTTTAGATTGGCTTCAACAATGGGCTTTCTTAATATCAGCGCATGTCAGTACAAGCCTTCCACCTGCCAAATTTTGTGGCATTGACAGACTATGTATGTCATCATATGTCCAATTCGTCACTGGAGTCCGGGCTTTCATACGTCAAACTGGGAGGTTGAAACAACACTAGAGCTGAAAAAGAACACTGCACATTGACTGCGCACTTCAGTTTGGAACGACTGATTAGGACCTAACTGCGTGAATATATATATATATATATTACTGTATATCATATATATATAATAATGTGTCTATATATAAATATGTGTGGAAATATCGAAAGAATATGAACCAAATTCCGCGGATTCTTTCTGATGCTTGCTGGTGTGCAACACCCTCCACAAGCCCATCAAATATAGTGTGCCAAAGTTAGCGAACAATCCGACAGGCCTAGCATGGCCTAGCCCTACCTGGAACACCAGGTTCGCAGTGGCTCATCTTGGATAGAAGGTATTGAATCAAAGCTTACATATAAGCCCTGCCGCCCAGCAAAAGAGTTAAGCTCAAAAGGCTTGCCTGTGAACGCAATCTGCTCTTCAGCATGGGCACCTGATCAACATTGGCTTGGCTTCTTTCAGTCTGAATTGAGAAACAAAAACCCGTCAAATTGTAAATTTTATGCACTTGAAGGTAAACCAAGCAAGCCAAACAAACAGTTTGGAAGGATTGTAATGTTCTTCAGCTCACCGTCAGGTTCTCCAAGCTCTCAGCTCTTCGACCCAACGCGCGTGGAGCACAAGCCACACACGCCAGTGGAGCGACGGCCCAGGTGCGACGGCCCAGTGGGGGACGCCCGACACGGTGAGCACCATGGCGTCCCGACGTGCAAACGATCCCATGGCAGCGACCCCATGTGGGGTGGTGAGGGAGCATTTCTACCACATCCTGGGAGCTGAAAAGGGACCAGCAACGGGCGCTGGCACGTCGGACTGAAGGGCCCTTTGGGCTGCTGTGACTCTAGAATCGCCAAAAAGGAAGGACCAAACGTCCTACTGAACAAGCGTACAGTATCTAAAGAACTGGCCAAACCCTGAGGTGCTAGCATTGACTGGCGAATTTTGTCCATGCTGCTCTGCACGGCCATGTTCTGCTCCTCAGGACTTAAGCAACCCCTCCCTATCCAGCTTCTTGCTCTTAGTAGCGATGCCAGGAGCCCCTAGTAGCGATGCCCTTGCTCCTAGTAGTAAAGAATCGCCCGTGACTTAGGTAATTGATGTCTCCAGCTGATCGTCAGAGCGACACCGATCGTGCTTGCACGAATCCAGTCGATCGGGACAGGTTGGTCTGATGACACGCTGAGGGCCCGTGACGGCATCCTAAGGCCCTTGCTTGAAGGCGCTTCTTAAGTTGCTCTTCCATCCTGCTAAAGTCACGTGACACGTGATGAAGAGACAAAACAGTGCCCTCCGTCACCAGCCCCTCCATGAATTGCCATCAGTCATCTTCAGTCAGAAATTTGCAGCAAGGCCGGCTACTTGTTGATTAATAGCGCACCCGTGGATAAGACGTGATGGGGGTCTTCTTTTCTCTTGTTTTGATAGCTGGTGGGACCTTAGTTGCCACTTCAACTTTGAAACTTACAACAGTTGTTTGATGTTTTTTTTTGCTGGAGCCTGATTTGATCTACTGCTGCACGTGCATGGACCTAGCCCCCCTCACAGACATGGCCATTTGACATGTCCAGGTCGTCCTCTCGAGGTCATTTCCTGGCCACAAAAATACACATCACATCTTTTTTTGCAGCTTCAGCGCTTCTGTCACAGCGCATGGCATCTACAATTTTTTATCTGCCCACCCAAAACAATTCTACTACATCAAGTCCAACTCGTGTGTTGGAACGCAAATGCACCGATCATTCTTGTCACCCTGGCAAACTGTCCGCACATTGGCTGCTTGTCATTGTCTTGCGCTCAAAAAGTAAGTTGGTAAACTGAAGGCCCAGCCTTGAATTTCCTGGCGGTTAACAAAAAAGATAACATCAAGGCATCAAGACATGGGGCAGGGTCAATAAGGAGATCCGGCGAGCTCTCAAAAAAAGGAAGATCTTCCAGAATCAGCTGTCAAAAAGGAAGATCTAGATGAATAGAAGCACACTGTTGGTTCATTTTCCTTTCCACGCGTTGGCCCTCTGGTGGTGAAAAAACGCGCCAAATGTGTTCAAAGTACCGTCAGTATTTGAGAGGGGCCGTTCTGACCGATGGAATCTGCAAACGATTGGATATTGGGAGAGTCAATTGAAAGCAAATACGTAATATGTGTAAAGGGCCAGAAAGACGTTTGGAAACAGGTGTAAATGGAGGATGCCCATGTTCAAAGAGAGGACCTTCCAAAAAGAAAGGCTTGGGAAAAAAAGGCCAAGAAATCCAAGGAACATGCTTCTTTGAGTCATGCTGGCCTCCGGAAGAAAAACTACCACTTTAATATAAAGAAGGACACAGGACACATTTAACAATGTTTAACAAGGAGGAAACATGCATGATGAGGAGTATTCTATTTACAGTAGTTCCTTTAGTTCCTTGGACCACCAAACTCCCAAAGCTCACACCTATTTTACATGCTTTCCATATACTAGTTATGCGTACAATTTAGTAACGAGTTTTGACAACAAAAAAATATTGCTATATCTATCTGTCCAGTGTAATGCTTTATTCTTAGTGTTTGTTTGAACATACTGTAGTTGTTCAGCAACTAGAGTTGAGTAGTTGAACGAACCAAATTATGACATATAATGAGCGGAGTGGAATCGTTGCATTGCACAAAGCATCGCGAGTCTCTATTCAATATTATTCAATATCAAATGTATTCTTTTCGCTCAAAACAATCCTTTTCGCAATATTACTGAGGGCCGCCTTGGCTTTCTCCAAGGACTTTACCCGAGCCTGGCCAAGTCATCAGCTTGTAGACGAACATCAAAGTCCAAGTACAAAACACACAATGTGAGACTGCTGACTACGGCCAGCAGCAGGCTTTTGATCCGTGCGCCAGGTCTCCGAGAGAAGCGAACTGTGCGCCAGGATGTGGATAAAGGGAGATGCCAACAAGAGTAACATCATTTTCGCTGTTCACCACCGAGTGGTTTGCACATCGGCAAATGCAACACATATTGTGCTTTCAGCGATCAGTCTATGACATCCCTCAAGCATCCTCATGCACGCTCACTTGCGATGTTTGTGCGATCTTGTGCGCTGCATCATGCAAATCTGGAGCTTCGGACACATTGGCCCTAGTGACCCTGGCGGCCTTTGAATCCACTCAACATCTGCGACCTGGATACAATATGGCGTCAAAGAGTTATAGTATATATATATATTATATATTATATATTATAACTATAATATTATCAGTAAGGAGGCGGCCACTCTTGAAAATATGTTACTGCTACACTCACTACAACTTCCCTCGCTGTAATCATAGCCGGTGAATGGTGAATGTCACATTAAGATTGCCACTGGTTTTGCCAAACATCTTATCAAAATGGTTGCCTTACAAACAAATATCCAGTTACTGTATATATATATATAGCGACACTATCGCGAACTGCGCGGTGCAACTGGCACAAACAGCGAGAAGGTCGCTGCCAAAACTAGTCTTGTCAGTTGTGGTGCTGTTGCTTCAGCATCCTTGAGGATCTTTGAGGCATCTCAACAGGGCATCCCGGCATGCCAACACAACTTAAATATCGACCGTGTCATTTGGGGGTGCTGCGTTGTATCACATTCCAGCCGTAATCGCGGGCAATGTCTTTGTGCCGCCCCTATGTCTGAATTGACCCATTCTATCCAAGGCACCCCATGGTGCCCACATTGGCCACAGCCGGCTGCAGGTGAGATGCGAAGCTTTGCCTAGCGAATGTTCGATTCAAAAGGAGTCGTCCATTGTGCTTGGACTGCCCGGTGAACACTCCATCCATCTGTGATCTGGGATATGATATGACCAAACTGTTGAACTCGTGGAGGATGACAAATATAGATAAGATAAATATAGATTCTTTGTACCTGCTTCTTACAACGCCCACCACCCACATTTGCATAACCAAGTCGCACGTTCTGCCGCAAGCCCTGCACGCCATCGGATACCACACTGCTGTAGTGCCTTGATTCTTGTCCCCTTTGGGCTTTCGCCGGTGCTTCTAGGGGAGAGAATGGATTGGAACTCCAGGATCTCACCGTGATACTGACTTAGTAGGCACGTAAGTTTACCTCAACACAAGCTTTATCCAGGAAACATGGGATGGTGAAGCTTAGTTTCACATATATAGTATATAGTTTCACTCGAGTGCAAACATGTGCAAACCACCCTTCCCAGGCCAAGCGGTATGCTCACATCACATCTTTTCATCTACCATCTGGGCGTGTTAAATGTCAGTTCTGGAATAAGGTTTGCACTGGTGAAACTAACGATTGAGTCTGAACTATTTGTTGCTGACCGCGCGTAGGTGTGATAGCCCATGAGTTGCCAGTCACTTCCCACAGAGATGAAGGGCACTTTAAGCTGCTGGATCAGCTTATATACAGCATCTTTCATCTCCTGGTCCAGATCTGTAGTGGCATCATCAAGGAGCAGCAAGCGAAGCTGTTTCTCATATAGCAGCGGCCTGGCCAAGTTCAACCTTTGGCGTTCAGACCTTGACAAGGGCTGATCCGCCTTTGGCACCTGGTCAATTCCTCCATGATTCTCGATCATTCTGTCCAACTTCAGTGCCTTCACCACTGAATCAATCTCGGTTCTTGACCGTTGAGAAGTCTTCGAGTGTGGGTAAAGAAGGTTGTCACGAAAGCTGCCCAAGCAAAGATATGGTGATTGGGGCACGAAAAAGCAACATGGCAAGGCTGGACGGGTGATGGTCCCACTGCCATTCTTGAACAAATTAGCGAAGGCCCTCAGCAGTAGTGTCTTTCCACAACCACTCCCTCCAAGGAGCAAGAGGGATTCGCCTTGTCTAAGGTCAATGCGCCCACTGACACTCACTTCAACAGTCCGGGTCCTCAGCTTTACATCTGCCATGGATACTGGAATGCTGTCCGAGGCACCCGAAACAAGAGTCACACATTCTTGGGTTGCCCATTCTTGTGGATAATATTCCTGGAGTGGTGACAGTGAACTGTCTCGTGAGTCTCGTGGAGTGTCCGAAGCTAGACTCTCGACTTCGCTTAGCCATCGGTGGGTGGGTCTTGAGTGCGCGACCTCCTCGATTCCGATACTGTCCAATTGATGCCACAACTCTTGGATGCGGTACGCATATGCATGAATCTTGGCTATGTATGATACCTGGTGGCCAAGGGCAAGCAAATTTGACATTAGATAGCCAAAAAAGCGCTCGGTCAAAGCCCAAGAGCCGAGATCCACCTTGTCTGAAAACAGAAGTGGTGCAACGAGCATCACGGGCAAGCAAAGCAAGCCCACTTGGCCAAAGTTGGCGCAAAGTTTCAAGAGAGCATTCAAGACCTTGAGTTGGTAGTTCTGCCAAATGACACGGCTCAAAGCCTGCTGAGAGCATGCCCTCTCAAAACCCTCTCCTTGCAAGAAAGCAATTGGCTCCGCATGCTCCCGCATCCGCATCAGCACATGTCGGAAACTAGCATCCTTTGCTTGCATGCGGCACTGCACTGCCGTCATTGGAATGGTAAAAGCGAAGGAGCAAAGCGAAAACAAGCTAGCAAAGCCAAGTAGAATGATGCAAACACTGGGTGAAACTTGCAAAAGTGCTATTGCACTGGTACAAACCTGAGCTAAGGCTTGAACAACAGTTGCCATCACGGAAACTGACATCTTTGTGAAGGAAGCTACGGTCTTTGCAATTCGCTGGTCGGGATTGTCGATACTGCCATGGTGGAGCTTAAGCTTGTAGAAACCATGGTTTTGATCAGCATACTTTTGCAGCAAGCGCATTGTGAGGTATTGTTGCCAATCCAGGCTGAGTGCTGAAACGATAAACGAGCGAATGCAGTCAACCACGGCCCACCCTGCTTGGCACAATATCAAGAGTTCAAAAGCACGGCCGAATTCCAAAGAATCCTTCGAACTCAATGCATTCACAACTGGCTGGAAAGCTGTTGCTCCGACGTAGCCCATGTAGACTGAAAGGCCAGTGAGGCTCACAGACACAAGCAGGAGTGGCATTGCACGTGTGCGACTGGAGGAGTCTGCCAGGTAAATGCATAGAAGTTTGAGCACTGTTTTGGTGGTCTCGAAGCAGGATGTCCGCTGTGATTCCTTTTCAGACATGCTGGTATGGTCATCCTTCTCCAAGTCTTCGGACTCGATGCCGAAACATTGGGCCAAGCAATCCCGACATGTGGGCGCCATGGCAGGGGGCAAACTATCCCAAACTAAACTACTAAGTGCAATGAAAATCAGGCAGTGCAGGACTTCAGGCAATGCTAGACTAGTCAAAGGTGGTGTGACCACACCAGTATGTCATGCCCAATGTGGTTGGGGGTTAAGTTGCCTTTGTGGACCAGTCAGCGACCTGATTGCAGTAAGTCTGCTTAATTCTGCTTACAGGTGGCCGGAGGCTGAGTTCTTTCCATGTTGCCTCAATCATGTCAAGCACCTGAGCCTGAGCCTGAGCGGTGAGATTTCAGCAGAATGCAGCTAGTGCTCCTTTGACCTCTCCTTCATTCTCTGCACGTTGTTTTGCTTACATCATGCGCTCTGCACGATCGTTTTTTCAGTGGCTGGCTGGCTGGCCCTAAAATGGGTTGGCGGCCAAACAGAAACGCTTTCACAGTGAAAAGGGTCCAACAAACTTGCACAAGTGGTTCTCAAAAGGCCAAGGCTCTGAGCATGATCTTCGTGAACCCCTGCTCGCTGCCTCTCCTCGGCACCAACACCACCGATTGTACAACAACTCTATTTGCCATTCACCCTTCTTCACACGATATAAAGTCGCATTATATATACACATTCTATGGACATCACAGTAGTCTGTATTTGCTGTGCAAAAACGCTTGTACAAACACGCCAACAGAGGGGCAGTGAGATGAAGCATCACTGCACAATCAATTGTAGGTAAGTAAGCTTGCCCAGGCCAACTAGGAACCCGACTCCTCCTGACAGCCTCCTTCAGATCAGTTGATGTGCAAAATCTATATATATAGATTATAAAGTTATTAAGAAAGCCGCTTCCTGACCCTTCATCATTCATCTAGTGATGCTTCTCGTCCTACGAGCATCTCTCAAGACAGGTTGCGCCCGACAAAGCCACAGCCATCATCACTTGGCTCAAGGTCGTTAATAGCGATGCCAGCCAGACTCGCTGCAGTGCCACGTCCACTCGCTCCTTGGAACGTTGGAAGTGGTCCCATTGAATAGTGAGAAAAGCACTACACCTCCAGGCACCTCAACTGAGGAAAAAATAACGTATCTGAAGAGCTTGGGATCATCGTATGTGCTCAACATCAAGCAATACCTTGGCACCAAGGCTGCTGATAAGTCCAAAGTCACTCACCCATTTCTAGGGAGAAGTGGAGACGTCCATGGGCTTCTGAGCGCCCGGCTCTTGCAGATTCAAGTTCCCTTCGAACTGTCGCATGCCTTGCACCGCTGAGTACGCTCATTAGTTTTTCACTGGCTTCACGCATTCTCCTAGACGATGAACGACATATGTCAAATGCCTGTCTGGATCATTGAGGGCATTCCTCAAGGAGAAGCTTATGGATGGATGCAGTCGTACTATATGATCGCTGCATGCAGTGTACGGATCACAGGAATATTTGTTTTAACCCGGCAAGTACATCAAAGCGTGATGTATCAGCTGTTGTGTAATAGGGATCCATCTTGACTGGTCTTCAAGTGGCTGATCGGGTTGAACATCGAGGTCCAACTTGAAGAGGAGGAGCCTCATATGCAGGTGGAAGTTTGATGCGCTAGTTGCAAAACGTAACAAGACCATGTTTCGCTGAATGTCCCCCAGCCACAAAGCCATCATACGTTGGCTTTTTGCGTGTTCACATGCACACCTGTCATTCTCGAGTTAACATCAGGGAAACAATGGAAACAGGCCTCGTTGGATCTCCGACTGAAGGTATGGATCTCTTGGAAAACACAACATTATCTCCGACCAGTGGCTGTGCTGCTGCGATACGCCCATGATCAGCTGCTGTGCCTTGAGGTGGGATCTCGGAGAAAAACTAAGAAAACACTTCATACCGTACCTTCTTCATGTTACTGTGAAGCAACATGTTTGTTGCTAGTAGCGATGGCCTTCAACCTAATAGCGATGGCCTCAACCTAGTAGCTTCTAGTTACTAAGAAAGCTTTATACAAGTGCGGGTTCTGGACCTGCGTCGGCACATTGAGCCATGTTTGCATTCCATGACTCAGGCTTGGCAATTCAATTCTGATCATCCGATAAAACTGCTTAGTAAATGAACGGAGTGCAAAACATTAGCCCCCCTGAGGCCATATCAAAAATGAGATTCATGTCTGGCACAAAGTCATGCAAAAGCAAAAGCAAACCCTTCACCCGGCCTGTGGCAAAAACTCCTGCCATGGTCATGGTGAACATCATGTGACCACATGACATTGCAATCACTGAATTGCTCAAAAAACGGTGTTTCATGCCAATCAGTGTGAGATTAGGTCGGTTGACAGCTGACCTATTTTGCAAAGAATGCTAAGATATATTTACAAAAGAAAGCATCTATGTATCATGATTTTTATACATATTTATACACCAGTTCTCGTAGTTACCCTTCAAAAAATATGCAATCCTTCGGCAAAAAATATCTTTATCGCTTTCGCCTTCAAGACCCCTGCCGTGTGTCCTTGTGGTAAACACACATATGATTCAGCAAGTAGAACACCTTGCTTGCATGAAGCGATCCCGAGTGTCAGTCACCGAAAACACCCATCCGCTTGACATTAAATTCCAGCACAACTGTTGAAACCGACCAGCATAAAGGGCCACCTCAAAGGCAGCTCATTTTGTTTCGAGTGGCCCCTGTCCACGCCACCAGGAATTCTGAGGCAAACAGCCTCAGTGTCACAGCAAAGCCACAAAAACATGATCGGAAGGCAACCAGAGTGTGCGTTGTAGAAGTCTGAAGAAACTAACAGCACTGCAAACGTTTCGCCCTCTTGCTGTTGAAAGCTTGTTCAGGTAGGTTCTCTTTACAAATCTTATCGGAGCTTGGGCTTGGAGTTTGAAATCCTCAGCGCTTCAGCTCAATCCAAATGCGTGGCGAGGTTCGGACGACTAGCAGTAAATGGAGTGTTGCCATTCTAAACGGCTTGATAACATCATGCACTTACTGACCGTGTTGCAACACTGGCGAGCAGCTGTAGCACAAAGCTTGTCAAAGCAATCGTTTGCAGGACACCTTAGCATTCCAGTTGCGTCTAAGAATGCATGAAGTCAAGACCACAAATACTTGCACCCATGCACACACGACAAGCATGCGTGTCAATCGTGTGTGTGTGTGTGTATGTGTATGTGTATGTATCCATGTCCTTCGAGCCAGGACCTGCCTCACTTGTTTGGACTTGCACCTTCGCACTGTTTTTGGCATGCCCTCATTCGACATTTTCTTTTGTATGACGTTGCTCTAAATCAAGTATGGTAAGTATAGGGGCTTGCCACAATGGACTTCGCCACCATTCTTTTATTCATCAAATTTGAACTTTCACAGGGCCTAATTCAATCCTGGCAACACACATGTAACATTCTAATACATTATATGATTATATAGTTATTATAGAGCAGTTTCGTCCACAAGCTTCTTCAGCAAATTCACCAGAAACATCTGGTTCTGATATTCTGCGCCCCAGAGTTCATGAAGTCTAAATTGTTGAGGGCCGTATGAGACTGTGAAATGTGCGATTGCTTTTCGGCCGTCCAAAAGGTCTGGAGTGCTTGCAACATGAGCTGAAGGAACAGCTGAGGGAGGAGAGAGTGTAGGCATGGCATGTTCGGAGGACACTCCGAACTCCTGCATCTCGGCCCAAATGCACCTTCAGTTGCCAGTTGCACGCAAAACACCTGGCGTTCGCGCTTGTTGGAGTTCTTCAAGGCGGACCGTTCTTAAGCACTGCATCCTGAAGGAGCCTGCGTCGCTGAGCAGTTCATGTTTCACGTTGCGGCCAAGTTTTAAAGCAGCCACAGCAGTGCGGGCGATCCCCAGCCATCACAACTCAGCATGCGTCAATGCGGTTGTGTCACTGGCAACGGCAGTCAGACCTGGACGCGTCAATGCGGATTCATGATGGTCTATGGTGCTATTGCTCTGGGGCCCAAATGCATGCATCTCTTTTCTGCATCCGAGGGAGGCTTGCGGCTCGGCCACTGTCAAAGCATACAGCCGCAGTGTTTCAGCAAGGATACGCACAGTGAACAAATATCCTACCAAAGTCCAGGTTATTTGGTTTTGAAAACTGTCTCCATGAAAAGTTGGGCCTTGTACAGGACCTCTTTGACAAAAAGCAGAAGCACTCAAGCAACAGTAAGTACTGTAGCAATTTCTAGCATATATAATGTCACAAGTATTGGGCTACACTGGAGAGTGCGGACGTTGCCAAACGTGCTTGCAGTCTTTTCCCTTTACATTCTGGCCCTAACCCAATCACCTGTGCAAACAAAGGGGCAAAGCATGCGGGAAGATGTGAAGGCGTGCAACATGGAACTGGCACATCTGCTATTTCCACTCTCACCTGGCATGTGCAGATCAGGCATGGTTGGCCATCTTGTCAGGTTGCAGCCCAGCGGCACTCAAAGTTTGAGAAGAAAATCGCAAACGCAGCAATGGTGTTGACAGGAATCAAAATCCACTCATTCCAGTCCTTTGCCACAAACACTAATACTGCGGCAAGCAAACTTGTAACGGTTACATGTCGCTGCTGCAGATACATCTGGGCTGCTGGCCAAAAATATCAACAGCCGGTGCCTTAGCAATGACACGCCGTATGCGCCATGTAGTCCCAAGCGCATCATACCAGAACCGTGCTGGCTACAAAGTGGCTACAAGTGCGAAAAGTCTCCAAGAATATACCTTAAATTTTCCAAAAAATATAGAAGCCAAATCATTGGTGCGAGCGCTTCCTTGAACAAGCGTGAGCTATCCTGCATCCTGTGTCGGTAGCAGCTAGTTAAGCTACAAGCTACCTCTCCCTTACTTAATTAAGTAGGCGCCTACTTAATGAAGTAGGGAGGGGGGAGCGGGCTTCAACATTAAAAAATAGAACAATCTATGCCTATGCCCCATCTGTGCCCTGCGAGGCGCATGGAGCCTGAGAGATTTTCCCGGAAGCCTGGGCAGCAAACCTCCAAACGACCTGAGACGCTTTTCTCCAGATCAATGCCTTCTTCGAGCATTCCATCATTACATTACATCGTTGATCACTGTCAGCAAGTGGAGCAAAGTGGATCAACAATTGAACAAGTGTGTATGAGCTGTGTATATGTACAGAAATATGTATATATATATACACATCACATATAGCATGAACTTCGCCTGCACCTTTGGGTCATTGTCTTGCATCCATTTGAGTGGAGTGGCTCAAAGGAGCTCAATGGATGCAGTAAGGCTTCCCCACTTTGTTTCAAGTGAACTTTGGCAACGTAACTTCAAGCTCTTTTTGACTCTGCTGGTGCAGTCAAGTGAAGATCTTCAAGGCCCGCAGGAGATCATGTGCCTCGGGAACAGCATGCATGCGGCAGTAAAATCACCAGCATGATAAAGCTAAAAAACAACAACACCTTGCCAGATTCTGTAGCTCATGTTATGTAGTAGCACATGAGCTCAAGAAACCTGGCTGGCTTTTTGTGCGGTAGGTCAGGTCCAAAACAATTGACCTGATGTTGAGATGGCATTCTATGCCCCTCGACCTTTGAAAACAGCCAAGACACACCCACTTCTCGGCAAGATCGGCTGATTCCGCCACGAGCACCAGTCGCCGCATAGCTTTTTTGCCTGTGCACATGAAATACGAAGTGTATAGGTCGTCCCTTTTGCTAAACAACCTGTCCAAACTTCTGCAACCCGAGGAGCAAGACTTCTGCAAAATGGCCGGAGGCCCTGAAGAGCGTTGCGATATCTCGAGGGCCCTGCGCATGTGGCAGGACTTTGCATCTCAAGTGAGGCTGTCCGTGCGTCTACAAGCCTTGCAGGGCCTTGAGGGGAATGAATGGGCAAACCCCAATGACGCACATGCCATCACATTCCTATGATTTCCTATGTTCCCAGGGGCCGCTCCCATTAGCTCACCTTCGAGAGGCCGCGAGAAACCAGGGGTCAGGACGCCGTCGGCGACAGCAAAAGGAGCGCCGGGCACCGGGCCTCATAAAGTGCGGAAACTACGTCATGTTGTGCAATTGACGGCATGCAACAACAGCTGAACTTTCCAATCTAGAACCACAGCCCCCTCTCAAATCACCTTTTGTGATAGTTTGGTCATACAATACAAGTACTGTATATAGTTTGCTTGAGCAGTTGGGAAGTGCAATTATATCAATATGGCCCGTACGTTAAATGGGCTGGGGGGCCCTCCTCAATCAATAACAATTGAGGCACCCTGAGTGCTTTTTGGAAACTAATTCAGAGTAGCTCGGCGGATGGATTAATTTTCGGCTGATTTCATTTGGGGGGCCCCCCAACTGGCCGAGCACTCGCAAACCCCTGAATTAGTTTTGAACTGCGTCCTTGTACCTGGCAAAACCTTCATTTATGGAACCGACCCTGCAAAGGATGATTCCCCTCAATGAATTTGCCCTGACACATTGATTTGTGGGGTGGTCGGGCATTCCCCCCCCCCACAGCCCGCAGCTTCTTGCCAGTTTTTTGGTTGGCTTCAATGTGTCTTTATCAAGCCTTTAAAGTTTCTTTTCCATTGTTCTCATTGGTTCCAGCCTGCCCCTTCATGCTCCCAAACCATCCCACACCTGAAGCTTGCCATCCAAATAAATCCACCCCTCCTCCACAGGCCAACCCCCATTGATTTCTTCCGCAACATCTCGCTGGGAGTAAGCCAATTATATATATATATATAATTTCAATTCCTTGACATTGGACTTGATCAAAATTCCCAACAGCTAACAAAGTACCCCATCCAATTATATACAGTATATATATATATTTATAATTCTTTAGTGGAGTCCTGGAGGGGTCATGTATTGTATGTTTGCCAACAGTGACCCTCACTCACCGAACTTCTGCTTCGAGATGGGTGGATGCAAGATTCAGCAAAGGTGCAAGTTGTCCAGGTAGCGTTTGCGAGCCTCTGGATCTTCCTGAGCCAATGAGTCCAATCAAGCCACAAGTTTGTCCATGAGTAGAGCTTCACAAAGTTTGTCCATTGTCCATTACGACGATGTTTGCATGTGGAAAGCTTTCTTCTTGCGAGCTTGAAGTCCGGTCTTCACGCACCTGTGCTTTCAAAGTTGGTCTCGGACTTTTTGTGCTTTCAGGATCTTTCAGGTGTGTTGTGCTTCTATTTCAGCCTTCCACGTTTGGATATCTTCGGCCCGAAGTGGGAGCACTCACCGGTGAGCAGGAGCCAGGTTGCTTCAAGAGTTGTCACCGCCACATCCTTTAGATCGATGACGTCTGCTGGATCAACATCACCCTGGGAATCCGAGAAGAGATAGATCCGTTGAAGCACCTGAGCACGTCAGCTTGCCCTGTTGTGGATTACGTGTTGCTTTGCATGGCTGCGTCGTCTCAAAAGGTCATGCTGTCAAACGCCTCACTGCATCACATTCGCTACTATCCTCTGCCTGTTTTCGCGCGAGTTTCAATCAGTTGACCTGCAAACTGAGTCATTCGGAATGTCTAGGAACCATCTGTCAGACTTTTGTCCTTGTCTACGGCAGAATGGCACCACCAGAATGTCGTCACACCCAAACAGTTTTGCAACGTCACATTAACTGCCATGGCACCAGCACTGCCCAAAATCGCAAGCTGGTGTTCTTGACCACGGCGATAAGCCTTGAGATCAAGTTTACATTCTGTGCATGAAAGCATGCTATGTCACATGTCAAGTTGCTACGTTCATTTAGTGGGAAGAAGTCGAATGCATCCCTTGGAGGCCAAGACTCAAGACTCCAAACCAAAGCAACCTACAAGAGAGGAAGTCTCGGCAGGGTCCCATGCCGAGACTCCATCCCTCCATGTTGGGCTGCACCGGCAACTTGGAAAACGGTGTGCGAGGCATCGGCTCCACGGAAATCTCTGTACAACCTTGGAGCTCCACGGAGAATGCCGGTGTGCCTACAAGAAACACCATTGGGATGACTGTCACACCATGGACAAAGAGAAAGTAGTCTAAGAGAAAGTAGTCAAAGTATGTCCAAGTAGTCTAAGTAGACAAAGAGAAATCCTTCGTGGTTTGGAATGGCTTGCCAAGGGCGATGCTCGTGGATGCTCCACTTGTGTAACCGCGTCTTAATATTATATATACAGTAAATGCTTTTTTTTGCGGGTACTGTACGAATTGGACTTAAGGCTTGACAGTGATTGCTGACGGTTACTGATTGCTGAAAAACGGCGGAAACATAACTGCTGGGGGGGCAGCTTGCATTTGTGACATGATATCAGTAATTAGGCAAAACCTGCCTTGACTTCTGACTTTGGGTAAGACTACCTAGGGCGGATGCACACCACATCAAAACGAGCGGCTGATGTCCTCAAACCAAGCCCTTAAGGCTTCATCGGGGACTTCTTCCGCTGGAACTAGCCGCCTGCAATTCCGACGCCCCTTGAATGCTGAAGCTTGAAAGGCATCCCGGACTCATGCAAGAATTGCAATCACATAAACGATTTCAAAACATGCAAGCCATTCAATGCCAAGCTCGAGGCTGTCTCTGTTTTGAACACCGGCTATTGACAATTCTGTGCGTTTGCCACGCTGAAATATTTTGGCACCTTGTATTGGCAATATATTCTTCCAGGCTCATGCTGGCACCTGCCACGGTCGACCGTGACTCGGTCGCATTGAAATCAGTCCAAGGATGGTGATCCCAGGCTTTCACCATTTGTCAAACTCTGGAGTAATACTTTGCCACAAAGCCAAAGTCATTCTGAGTGAGGTCCTTTTGCTTTTTGCTCAGCGGCATGTGACAAAACGGCACGGGCCTTTAGCTTTATTTCCTAACTTCTTCGCAGCAACATGCAGGCCAGTGTTCAACATGATCAAGCCTCAGAATCTCAGCTCCACATTGGCTGAATATGAAGGACTGAGACCGAAGGAAACGGCACGTTACTCATGCAATGTTGACGTTGGGACAAACATTCGAAACACACAAACAATTGACATTCACCATGACCGTGACCGGACCAAATCTTTCCACTGCCATTCTCCCTCTAGCAACAGCAACGAGCACCGGCAAAAACAACACAACAAAAACAACTTTTTGAAGACCTATTCTGGGTTCCTCAATTTAAACGACATTTAGTTCTCAGCATCCGAGAGACTGACTGCGACCTGCGGGCGCTGATGTTGGGCAAAATCCGGCAAAACGATGTTGTGTTTTCTGGAGAGAATCTATCCGAACAGCATTGACTACTCACGGAAGGAGATGGAGAGGAATTGTGAGATGGAAGCATTCTCCATCAGGAGAGGAGTTGTGGGATGGAAGTGTTCTCATCCATCATCTTTGTTTGCTTTTGCACTCAGTGATTCGCAAACGAACTGTCCTGGAAAACAGTATCAGCGGAGGCATAGGCCGTCACCGGCTCCACCGCTTTTGGGTCCACTTGCCATTGCCTAAGTACATGCCAACAAGCAAGTGAATCAACATTTTTTGAAATACTTTAGGAAGCTACTAAGTGGAGGCCATCGCCACTAGGTTGGAGGTCATCGCTACTACAACATAAGAATCTAAGAATATATAATTTCGTCATAACCTTGTCTCATGAGCCATTTTGTTGTCTGTTGGAGTCTGTCTGTTTTAATTTTCCAATCATGTCGCATATGTTGTCGTTGTCATGCGACTGGTGGTCAAAATGTCTTTTCCCGAAAGCGGCTGTAAAAGTCATTCTGGTGTGCGCCCGCTTCTTGCTCAATAAATGTTAATTAAGTTTTTCAATCAGAGGTGCAGAATGTTGCAAACGTAGCTAGCGCGAAGGCCCCTTTTACATTTTGATAATCATTCGTTGTCTAAGATAGCCATGGTGTGAGGAATTTGGTAGGAAAAGAGACATGGGCGCAAGCTTTCCAGGTAGTAATGGCGAAGACCTGCTGCCAGGACAAATGGACATCTGATCACGTTTGAGAACTGTGCTAGCGCAAACCTAGCGCCAAATGCTGGCGTGGATCTAGCGCACACAACTCAAAAC